TCAAAAAAGTCTTCTTTGACATCCACTCGTTCACTTTTGCTTGGTCTGTAAACATTGATAATATTGACAAATGTATCTTCTTCCTTCAGATATTTCAACATAATTTGGGCCTGGGGTGAAATTACATGGCCCCTTATGTTTTTCTGTGCTTCTTCTTTTTCAGCGTTTTGAGCCCTTGTGGATAATTGAGTTCATTGCTGCATGCGTTTTGTTCTATGATCACCACGGCGATGACGATGACGGTTCCGCCGAATGTGCTCAGTTATCCCGGGGTAGTCCATTGTAGACAGATCCGGTGCTTGGTGTGCCACATTGTTCCTAGCCTTGTATGGAGCTGTAATATCCCCTCGAAAACTCATACTTCTGTATTGAACAGTACACGTTTTATTGTTATAAATAACATTACACAGCGAATGCACTAATCTCATTGAAACTGCAGCTTTTGTACTACTTTCTAAGAGCCATATACTGTGTGTTTCCCCTCGCATCCGTCCGCCGTCGGATATCTAGCCCTGGAACTTCGAAGAGTAATGAAACATTTTCTGGCAAAAATTAAGACACAAACGCTTGCACTATGGTCGCTTCTACTGCTATGACTTTACTTAAATAACACCAATACAACTTATCCTTAATGGGTTTTTGTCTGCCATCTCCTTTAAACACAAAAAAGGTCAAGCTGGTTTGTCAATTTGGAGAAGTAAAAGCGCCAATAAATCACGAAAGTACTACTATCCCAAGCAGTCACACATTATATCGCGAAGCATTAAAAGCAATCCGTGGTCAAATCAATTCAGGTTATTTTGATCAAAGGTAAGAAGTTCCTATACCAGAGGTACGTAAAAAAAAAAAAAACACACCACACGCTTAAGACGCAAGTAAATGAATAGTGTGGTTTATACGCTTAAGGAGACTGACATTACTTGTATATTGCCTGAGTATTACGAGTAAGAGTTAATGTGTCTATTTCTGTTACAGATAGGTTAATAGCGTTAGAGGTACGTCTACAAATGCAGGGAGACTGGGACAAAATGAACTTAGTCCAAGTTGTGTCGGTCTCCGAATATTTTTTTTTTTTTTTTTCTTTTTTTTTTTTGTTTACCAGGGTTCTCAACAGATGGGTGATAATAGTTGGAGATGATCTGGCACCGGTACGACACTTGACAAATTGGTTGATACACGTGGAGAAGTTTTACAGCTCGACAAGTGAACTCGGCAGATGGGTTACAACTGTATGAGGAACCTCAGATGCTTTCCGAATAATGTTGGAGAAGTCTTCAACTATTAAGAGAACTCGACGTAATGGGCTGATATAGATATAAATAAGTTTATGAGGAGGCTCTGACATATAAGCTGCATGTGGGGAGATAAACTTAAAAGAGAACTTGACACAATGGAGTCGATAATACTGGAGATAATCCTACAATTACAAGAGAACTCTATATTTGGTTTAAATCATATTTGAAATAGTCTACAAGGGGATCTGGAGGAACCGGCTTGAATTGTTGAGTCCGTTTTAACAAAAACTATAGAACTGGATAAGTAGGCTGCCACAGATTAGATGGCAATTAGTTTACATCTAGAAGGGAATTGGCTGCCGAGAGAACAAAGAGAATGCTTAATAAATCAATAATTTTTGAAATGCCTTTGTTTTTTAAACCACAGATTTTGTACTTCAATGCAAAAGCATAGCATAAATTCGGTTGTTTCGTGCATGTTAGTCGCATTTATCTAAACGTCAAGGTTAGGAAAAAACAAAACATCTCATAGTCCAAGTGATTTTATTGTCTAGAAATTCCCAAACTGAATTCAGTTTGACATGTTTCGTCATCCTTATTTCCTGTGAGAATCTAATTTCTTGTACCAAAATTCAAGGTTCTGAACGATGTAATAATGGTATCAAGAGAACTAAGAAGTTCACAAAGGAAATTAGAAGAGATGCGTTATCATTCATTAATTTCCTGTCAGATCTTTTTATAAAAGCAAAAACTATAAATCACAAACTTGGACTGTAATCCAGAAGTAATCCAAGAGAAAAGTGTTTGTGTATGTTAGTATTGCCGTTTTTTCCTACTTCCAGACTGCTTAGCGAACTTCACTATAATTCCAGAGAATTTGGAAATCACATGAATTCTTCATCATCGTTAAACTATCATCAATTTAATTTTGATCATGAACTTGTAACTTTGCAGCAATTGCATGACATGACCCAGTGGTTATCATTGTATGAGCAGGATTCTTGAGGTTGAAATCAACCAGCACTTTAAACGGAACTCACACTAGGGTCGGTAATCACAATGAATTCAGTAGAGATGTAAAATGATCCTATATTCTTCTGCCAGAGAGTCAGTACCGTAACAAAAACCCTGCACTTTATGCAACAGTGTGTATGTTGAAGTGATTTCTTTTAGCCCCAAGGTTTCTGAAAAGACAAATTAATTCAAAGAATATAAAGTATGAGCTTAGAAAAGAATAATAAATTTCAGAATAGGTCGTTTTACTAAGGCTGATATCATTGTCCCGGCCACTGTGACCTTGACGACTGACGCCTACGCGCTGGGCTCGGCATTGGTGCCTGCACCTCGCGTAACAATTTTCAACAATATCACAAATTCCATGTCATCAAACCAGATATCAGAGGCCCTCATTGCCCCACTCTTTGGCTGCTACTACTCAGTCCTGAACATTAGACACCACACCTCCCAACATTTTGTTGTTCCCAACAACGAGTTTTTGACTTGCCGATGCAAAGCGGCATCCAAGCTAGTTCGAACTCACTCTATGTCACAAACCTCTGTATGACCTTGCGGTCCGTGGCCCCTGGCTCGCTTTAAATAGGGCCCCTTCAGACCCCCCGCCTAGATTAAAACCACAAAAAACTGAAAAAAGAACGCACCAGAGCAACCCACGACAACTTTATTTAAAATACGGTTAAAAATAGACAGTTTAAATTCCCCGCAGTGTTTACCACCTATTTTCTTTGGGCCCCCCTGGTGGAAAGGGCCCCTTTTCAATGCCCCCCCAGTAGTTCGAAAGGCAAAACTCTGGTTTTACAAACCCCAACCGGGGGATTAAAAGGGTTCTTTTTTATCGCCAAAGCGACCCATCAAACTGTCACAGTCCTGTCTTAGTGGCCCGGGGCCGGCGTTTCCCGGTTAGCCAATTCCCGAACACCTATACATAAATACCCCACACAAGACCCATCCTATCCAACCCCAAAAAATTTCATAAACTACCCTCCCTACCCGAAAATATCCCAATTAAAACCAAACATAAAATACCCCACTTTTAAACCCCTCTTCCTGCCGCCCCAACCCAAAGTCCCCTTCCC